ACAATGTAGAATGCAGGAGGGTAGCAGTTCATGGAATAAGATCTTATTTGCCACCTTTTCAACAGATTCTTCATGAAAGAAGAAAAAGGGCAAAGCAGCAAAAACTGAAAGTCTTTTTTAACCAACCCCCAAGAAACAGTCAGAAGACAGTTAACCGCAGCCGTCCACTTCTGGATTAACTATTTTTCGCCCTAACCCTGCAACCACAATAGACCTGAAGGTAATGATAATGATGATAATGATGACGACCCTCAGCCCCTGCATTAACAACAGAGCAATGTCAAACCCTCCTCCCCCATCAAGTCATCTTGGCAATTTTTCAATTTAAGGTGTTAAACTTACTTTTATTTCATTATTAGATACAAATTAAATATTTATTCAAACTGTGCTATCCTTTGTGTTAGGCTTTTGAGTGATTTTTGAGCAATTTTGAGCGATATTTTTGTTGATCTAGCCCAACCCTGCTTTTCCTATAGGCTCTGTTATTTCTACAGCATGATTTTCTACAGTACGATGTTGTGCAGGAGCGCGACAATCGCATTATAGTAGAACCCCCTGTACTCGCTAACAGCCTGGAGTGAATTCTTTGTGTGTACCAGTTGCCCAATTTTGCATCTGATCGATAGCCAAAACACACGGCGACATTTCATAGACTACTGTATGAAAGTATTTGAGAAGAATCAATGATGGTGGTGATAGTTTCACATATCTCTGAAGTTATCACCGGCAAATACCCTTCGATTGTCAGTCAGAAACTTCAAGGCAAGCCTAGTCCAGTCACTGTTCATTTTACCATGATTTTGTTGAAAATAACCCTTTTTGTCCTGCTAAACATTATTGTAGAAAAGCATTTTCCTCTGCTTTTTAGATATTAAACCTCTCATTAATATATTCTACAATCTTTGTGTACAACATAAAACACACTTGCATCTTTTAGAAGCATTTTACACCTTGATGAGAGGGTGAGAAAACTGAATATGTAATTTGAAGATCATTTGCTTTATTCTTTTCTGATTTGTATCATTTGATGTCAGTTTACTTGTGTCATGTCCACTACATGAGGAAGAAAGATCATAAAGATCATGAAGTGTTTTTAGAGCTATACTGTCAGATACATTCCAAAGAGTAAGAAAATTTCCAAGGAATAGACCCATTATCCATAGTTAACTAGAAATAGACCCATTATCCATGGTTAACTAGAAATATTGAAGGTAGTCTTAAAGTAAAAGAAAAAGCATATAATTGTGCAAAGACAAGTTGCAGGTCAGCAGACAGAATATAAAAAACAGCAAAAAAAAGACTGAAAAATTTATAGAGTATGATAAAGAAGTATGAAAGCTAGAACAGCCATAAATATTAAAACAGATATTAAGACCTTTTATAAATATTTGAAGAAGAAAATAATTAACAAAGTGAGCATTGGCCTTATAGAAAATGAACCCACAGTGCCAGGGACCCGTGTTCGATTCCACCCTCAAATGACTGTCTGTAGGGAGTTTGCACATTCTCCCTCTGTCTGTGTGGGCTTCCTCAGGGTGCTCTGGTTTTCTCCCACAGTCCAAAGGTGTGCAGGCTGGGTGGATTGGTCACAGTAAATTGCCCATAGTGTCCAGGGATGTGTAGGCTAAGAGGGTTATGCGTGGTAAATGTGAGGTTACGAGATAGGATAGGGGTTTGGGTCTGGGTGGGAAGCTTTTTGGAGGGCCAGTGTGAACTCGATGAGCCGAATAGTCTCTTTCAGCAATGTAGGGATTCTATGGTGAATAAACAATGGAAAGTAAGGAAATAGCAGTTGAAATGAACAGATATTTTGCGTTTATCTTAAATACAGAGGATACAAGTAAATCCCAGAAGCAGTGTTAAATCAGGAAATGAAAGAATTCAGGAAACTCTCAATTACCACAGAAGTGATGCTGAGCAAATTGGTGGAGCTGCAGACTGACGTGTCCAGGTGTTGATGGACTTCATGCTAGGGACTTTAAAGAAGTGGCTCGTGAGATAGTTGATGCATTGGTTTTAATGTTCCAAAACACTCTTGATCCAGAGCCAGTCCCATGAGATTGCACATAAGTGAATGTAACTTCTTTATTCGAAAATGGCAGATGACATAAAACAAGAAACTACAGGCAAATTTACCTAACATCTGTCATAGGGAAAATATTAGAAGCCGTTATCAAATAATTTATAGCATGGCATTTGGATAAGTTCAAGGTAATCAGGAATTATTTCAGATGGTAACACGTGCTATGGATAAAGGGGAAGCAGTGAGTGTCCTGTATGTAGATTGCCAAAAGCCATTTGATAAGGTGTCACATCAAAGGTTATTGTGGAAAATAAAAGCTTATGGTGTAGGGAGTAGCATATTAGTATGGATAGCAAACAGGAAGCAGAGCAAAGACATAATAGAACTCACTGAGGTTGTTAAGAAGTAATGAGTGGTGTGCGAAAGGGACCAGTGCTGTGATCTCACTATTTACAATGCATATAAATGAATTAGATCAAGTCCACAATGTGGAGTTGCCACATTTGGTAATGACGCAAAGATAGGTAGGGAAGTGTGATGTGAACATAAAGAAACTACATAAAGATATGGATAGGTAAGTGAGTGGGGAAAAAAAATTGCAAATGGAGTATAATGTGAGAAAATGTGAAATTGTCCATTTTGGCAGGAAGAATGAAAAATATTATCTAGGCAGAGAGAGACTGCAGAGCTCTGAGATGCAGAGGGTTCTCGGTGTCCTTCATGTCTAAATCACAAAATGGTTAGTATGCAGACACAGAGTACAATTAGGAAAGCTGATACTATCTTATGCTTTATCACCTGGACATTAAATACTAAAGTACGTGGTTATGCCTAAGTTTGCAAGGCATTGGCGAGACCACATTTGGAATTTTGCATAGTTGCTTCATTTCAGGAAGGATGTAAATGAGCTGGAGGCAGTTCAGAGAAGGTTCACCAAAATAAAACCTAAAATGGGAGGGTTGTCTTATGAGGAAAGGTTGGACGGACTACACTGGAGCTTAGAAAAGTAAGAGGTGCCTTGGCTGAAACATATAAAATCCTGAAGGATCTTGTCTTGGTGGCTGTAGAGAGGAATCTTGTGGGAGAAGAGCTAATGGTGATTGTTTAAAAATCAGGGATTGCTCATTTCAAACTGAGATGAG